TAGAATTATTCAGTTTTGAATATATAATCATTTGTTAACCTTAAAAGGTCTGTTAAATCGTTATTAAACCTTCACCATTGGAATAAGCAATCCTAACCAGTGTAACGACCCCACAACATAATAACTTTACCGCTCGAGTTATTATTTGTTTAGAATTAATAGTTGCGAGGCTTTATCCACGACGCGTATTATATTCCAACGATACGATTCAATCCTTACCTAACCTTCCCAACGGTTACCCTTTACCGGGAGATACCAATTTCCAGCAGCTATCTGACTTCGCGTCAGAGTCGTCTGCGATTTCTACTCTATCCTCAAGCTTTGGATCCATTGAAATAAACAGGAGTAATCGTATCTTCTTCGATTCTTGAATTCAACCCACTCGCAGGGCTCACACGCGCGTCGCTATCGCCCTGGCTCGTAACAAGGGAATGGACTCCCGTGGCTTGTATGCGCTCGTACGCACTCACACAGCTCCACATCACTGTATACGTACACGGAACTGCAGGGGCTTGCGTATTGTCCTATTTCTGTCTCGACCAAGGAAAATTAGAGACTTCTCAATAGTACATCCGCTAGATAAATGTTCAAACTTGTCCGCAAGCTCCTATAGGTAGTCTACTTTTACTTTTTTGTGTCATAATTAACAATATTTAGCAGCGTATATTTCAGCAGCGTTAGTTCAGACAACGCGACAGCACTGTCGCGCACCTATTGCTTCTTTGGTCGCGAAATACTGTTGAATATTATTAATTATGACACAAAAAAGCAAAAGTAGAGTACCCATAGGAGCTTGCGCACAAATTTGAATATTTATCTAGCGGAAATGATTATTGAGAGGTCTCAAATTTGCATTGTCGAGACAAAAATAGGACAATACGCAAGCCCTTGCAGTTCCGTGTACGTATACAGTGGTGTGGAGCTGTGTGAGTGCGAATAGCACATACAAGTCACGGGAAGGTACAATGCACATCTCATCCAGTATGATGTGTGCCGTCTTTAAGGCAGGGCCCGCAGGGCCCTGGCCCAGGCCCCCGAGTTAGATAGAGGCCCCACGATTTTGAAATTTTATGTATACATCAAAGAATTTTATGATAAAAAAAAATATCTGATCACACACTTTGTAAAATAGAAACAAAATATTAATAATTTTGTTTAAAATTTTATTTCCGTAGTAAAATTACAAACTAATTATACGCACGCATGGTTTATTTAAAAAACTTTCCTTCTAGATTTCTTCGCAGCAAAATCAGCTATTAATTCATCAAAATCGATGGTTTTTAGTAGGTCAGATTCTATGCTCATTAAACTTAGGGTTTAATCGTGACTGAATCATTGTACTTCTATGGTCTGATTTTATTAATTTTAATCGGGAAAATGAACGTTCTCCAGCGCAATTCATTATCATGAGTGTTAGAAATATTCGTAGACTGATTTCAATATTTGGGAATGTGGAAAAAAGAAATTCTTTTTTCAATTGCAAGTATAGGTTTGGAATAAATAACACTTCATCTTTACGTGTTTCACTGAGGTAATGTTTATAATGTAAACATTCCGACGTTAAGTTGCTGCAGCGATGGCTTGATCATATGTTTGGCAAGTTTTTCACAGCATTCTTTTATTTCTTCATACTTCATATCTGGTAGAGCAATGAAAAACTTAAAATCATCATTCATCGTTTCGTAATCAGCTTTTATAGTTCTTAAATTGGAACAAAGCGAATCGATTACTCGATAAAAAACCTCTATTTTGAGCCTGTCATCTCCAGTTAATTGCGTGTCTTCACTCTGTCCTTCAAAGCGAGTAAGTTTTACGCTTCTCCTTCTATTTATTGGATCAGATGTAGATTCAGTTTCGTAAATATCAGTAAAGCTTTTTGCTTTTTCTAAAAACGCATTAAATTTTTCCCTAATATCCGATAAGTACAGTTCTAAGGAATTCAAAAGACTGCATGCAATATACAAATCCATATTTCCTCTCTGTAAATTTTTAGACGTATCATTAATACGTGTCAGAATTTCGTACTAAACTACAGTCATAAGGACATTTTCAAATTTTTTCATTTGCTTTAAAATAGACTTAGCTTCAATTCTTGTCTCGTTAGACTGCGTATCGTCCTTGGATAGATCATCTAGAACTCTAGTAATATCGGGATAGCTTATATAAAAACCTGCGATCGCATCGATTCGAGCTGACCATCGAGTAGCGGATAGCGATTTAGCAACTTTTTTTTTGGTCCCTAAATATGACAATATTTTCTGCCATCTATAAGTTGATGCCGATAAAAATATGTATAAAAGTTGTACGAAATAAAAATATTTAACAACTGCCGTAACACATTCAGCTGCTTTAACACCAATTAAATTTAACGAGTGCCCTGCACAAGAAATATAATCCGCGTACTTATTAATTTCTCTTAGCCTGGTTTACAGTCTCGAATATCGCCCAGGCATATTCGATGCATTATCATAGGATTGACCTCTACAGTCATTTATATCAATATCATTATCTTTGAAAAATTTGACTACAACTTCGGTTAAGTGTTCAGCATTATGTCCTTCTATGGGAACGAACATTAAAAAACGTTCAATAGGCCCTTGATCTGTAACGTAACGTACGGTGAACGTTAATTGATCCAGATGAGTAATGTCTGGCGTAGAATCCACAGAAAAAGAATAATCTTTTGACTTCTTTAACTCAGTTATAATGCAAGCAAGAACTTTTTCCCCCATAAGGACTATAAATTCCTTACAAATAATTGCTGATAAGTATGACGTTACTCCATGTCCTTTATTTCCGTAGATGTTAATGTGCTCTTTAAGCAAAGAGTCATATTCACTTAGTAATTCTAAAGTACCTAAGTAATTGCCATTATGACTACATCCGAATCGTTCATTGTCACCTCGAAAAGCAAGACTACGTGTAGCAAGAAACTTTATAGTATCAGTTATCCGACGTAATACTTGAATCCAATAATTTTTCTCATTTTTTGTTGAATTGTTAATGCATTCTCTGCACTACCTATTTCTTTTCTCCGTTTAGAATAAATCGTCAAAGATTGTTTATGGGTTTTACTTTGCTCGTGCTCCGTAATTCGCTCTGGGTGTTTCCAATCATTGAATCCGTAAAATATAAATTGATCTTTTTCAGATGAGAAAAGTCGACATACAAAGCAATAAATATGTCCAGTTGACGATGAATATGATAACCACTCACGGTCTATTATTTCATTATTTTGAAGTCTTAATTGGAATAATGATCTGTTCAGAGTTCTCACTTTTGGTTTATTTCCCTCTTGATAAACTCGTGCAGATTTTGAGACATTTTTATCCTTATTGTTGCATGAATCTGGATTTTTTTGCAACCAGTATAATCATAATTTCTCGTTGATTTCGCCCCATAGGGCGACATCACTCGAATAACTTTCATTTTTTTCTGAAGTGGTTCCCAATACTGTCTCCTCTATGGTTCTGTCGTTTGTAAGAAGTTGTGTAACTACTGATAATTCCGATTTTTGTGAAGAGTTAAAATCTACTTGATCTACGGGTTCGTTTTGAATAACATTCTCTGGCAAATCATCGGTACCTTTTTGCGTTTCATCATTTTCAAAGTTACAAGCAGCATCTGGCTTTAAAAATGAAGTTATTTTCAGTAACTTCTCAATTCTCTATTTCTCTTCTTTTGCTTTTCGTTTTTTTGAAGCACCACTTTTGTAGACACGTATCATGCTTTTAAAGTAGTTCAGATTATTGAATAAATAATAAAACAATACTACCTACATGAACTGTCCGATACACCGTGTGAAAATCTGGTAAAGAGACTATTGACTGCACCCGTTTTCTTGCCAGAAACAAAACACAAGCAAAAACAAGTGCAATCAAGTTTATTTCGAAACAATCGCGCTTCTGCTTGCGTTCGCGAACGCGCATGCGTGAGTATCCAAATAACAATTTTGGCGCGTTGATTTGAATATTGTAAATGGGAAAACTTTTATATTGTATGATAGACATTGCATTTAATTGTTTAAACATAAACTATTGTAAAATTTATTGAAACGTAGAAATGAATATATTATCTTGTATTAAAAGGTTTGAAATAGGCTCATGCTCGAATCGGCATATGTGGAGTGTTAAGAGATATGAGAGGTCGTAATTTAGCCTATTGCGTTACTCGGTTGAACTGATAAAATTAACATTTTAGAATTTCCCATCCCTTACATAGACCCCAGATAGTCTCTTGGCCTAGAGTCTCCCCGATCCGAAAGACGGCCCTGAGTATGATGCTTTTGCGTGGGTAGGAATGAATGGGTCTTTTCGTAGAATTAAGGAGTAGGGATAGAAGATATGACGTGACTGTAAGCGACTGTAAGAGCGTTAAGAATGTGTAGCATAGAGTTAATTAATAATATATGTATCAATTAAAGTTCTATTATAATAAAAGTATTCAACATTTAATATTCAGGAAAGTCATTATAAATATAAAAAATTGACTATTCCAAGTGTTTCGACACTTAAGGGGGCATTTCATTGTAAACGTACAATGAAAAAGCATATTTTCAATAATTTTTTTCTCAGGAACTATTGCATAAAATTAAATGAATGTTTCTTCCTCTTAAAGGTATGATTAAGGAAAGTAAATAGAAATTTTTTTTGTCTTTGGTAAAAAATATTTCGTCATTTATTTACAAAATAATATACATGTGCGCAAAAAATAAGTTATTCGCTGGCGCAGGTGATTTTGGCTCTCCTGGTGATCTGAAACAGAAAATCGAAAAAGTTTATTAAACTATGTCGTCACACCCATCGTCGGACTTCCACTTATTTATTTCATCGAAAATGAACAAAATGGCAGTGTTTCTTGTGAAAGAGAGAAAAGAAACACTATTTTTGTACCGTAAATCAGGTGAAATTGTAAGTAAAAATCAAAATATCAACTACTTGGAGGTTTCGACGATAGGTGTGACGACATAGTTTAATAAACTTTTTCGATTTTCTGTTTCAGATTATCAGGAGAGCCAAAATCACCTGCGCCAGCGGATAACTCTTTTTTTGCACACATGCGTATTATTTTGTAAATAAAAAAAAAAATTATTGAAAATATGCTTTTTTTGTGCGTTCACAGTGAAATGCCCTCTTAAATTACAAATTTTTTTAAAAGTGGATTAAATCGATTTGTACAGAGCTCGTGTATTAAAATTTAAACGTGCCTTCGAATTTCTTTTAAAAATTGCCACAAACTTTCTCTACAACGCAATATAGAATGGCTCCTCGATCTTCAATAACAATATCGTTTCGAAAATGACGAAATTCGACCTCCGTGCATGTTTAACCTCGTAATTCTGTCGCTTTCGATTCGAAACCACCAGGCTCGTAACATAATTCACCAAAATAACCCAATTTTTGTTCTATAGTGGAATCACAAAGCCCCGAATTCGCTACACTCGAATTTATCGTTTAATCTCATTATAATTTCCATGCCGCGACGACGTTCCAAACCGTCCTCCTTATTGTACGAGCAAAGTTTTCGTATGTGAGGAATCGATATTGGAGGGACAATGCAGGGCCAGGAAACCCACACCCCTCCCCTCCTTTCTCGAGAAGACAAGATGAAGAGCTCGGTTATTGGTACGTCGCTATTAATCGCGCCGGTTGACCCCGGTATAATTAAATTAAACTTCTCAAGAAATTCACTTAACCCGAAAGACGGCGATCTAATGTGTTACCGATTCGTACAACGAGAGTCTGCCTGGGCAAAGGAACTTTGGACGTATATCAAGCGAGCTACTTGCGTCGCCATGAAATCATCAGCGTTCTCTGTCTCGCCCCCCTTCCGGCCCGTTTACACCCTTCTTTCCGCTTCTTACCTCCCCTGCGGGTTCCCCAAGACGGGAATATTAATAGACTCGAAGTGTAATACCGTGGATGTCGCCTATTCATCGCCCCGCTAATAAAGACCTGAGTAAATGTGAATGAATATTAACGTAAAAGAAAATATCCCATTAGAAATTGCTTTCTACGGTGGAAACTGTCAAATCGTCCCTGTTTGACGGTCGGGGTTTTAAAAGGGAAACACTACTTTTTCTAAAAGTGACTAGCTTGTGTTGAAAAAGAATAAAATAATTTTTTGGAAAAAAAATGTAACCGACTTTAAAAAAGGTACAGTAAAAAATATAAAATAATTTCTAGGTAATTTATATGAATACGCACTAGCTCTAGATAAAAGTATGGGAGAATGCAGTGAAAAGTATGAAATAATTTCTAGTTATTTATATGAATACACACTAGCTCTAGATATAATTGCTTAAAAGTATGGAAAAATGCAGTGAAAAGTGTGAAATAATTTCTATTTATACTGCATTGTTATTCGCCATCGTTTGATGAATTTGGTTAAATTATTAAATACATCATATTAAATGCAATGCACCTTTTTCGGAGGCGACGCAAAATTTAGAATTAAGTATATTAAAAATTGCTAAACTTGGTTTAACTTTCTGTCGGAGAAACAAAAAATATGGTCTTCATTTATTGCTATCATTACATCCACTTTGACATCATATTCATTAACACTATTCAATATCGATGCCGCCACCAAATACTATCCCAAACCTATTCAGACAGTATTTCCATGGGGAGAGTTTATACATTAGATGTAATCAATATTGCCGCCCCTCCCCTCCAAAAAAGCCCCAAAATCTACTCAAACTATATTTCCGTGTACTGTGACGGGGCAGAACTTTTCTGCCCGTCACGAAGGCACCCTGACCCCGGAGGGTCCTCGCTCCCTCCTCGCCAAACACGCCGCGGAGATGGTCCGCGACAGTATGGAGGGATGTGTGGCCCGCAGCCCAATAGGGACCCCCTTTTTGCACCCCCTTGCGCTCGCGATCAGCGCCGCGTCCCCTCGCGAGCGCGGCAAGTCGCCGGTCGTGGTGTTCACCACCCAAGGACCCCGGTGTGTCCACCACCAAAGAGGACTTGCCACCCTCTAAAGACGGTCAGCCCCTGTCCTCGCCCCGCAGCTGCCACCTGCCTAATCCTTACCTAACCTTCCCAACGGTTACCCTTTACCGGGAGATATCGATCCTACAGTTACCCATAATTGGGAGATACCAATCTTTCCTTTCTTATTCTTTACCTAACCTCCCCAACGGTTACCCTTTACCGGGAGATACCAATTTCTAGCAGCTATCTGACTTCGCGTCAGAGTCGTCTGCGATTTCTACTCTATTCTCAAGCTTTGGATCCATTGAAATAAACAGGACTAATCGTATCTTCTTCGATTCTTGAATTCAACCCACTCGCAGGACTCACACGCGCGTCGCTATCGCCCTGGCTCGTAACAAACCAAATTCATCAAACGATGGTGAATAACAATGCAGTTTAAATAGAAATTATTTCACACTTTTCAAAAAATTATTTTATTGCAAATGGGAACATCACGAATTCATCTATTATGAAATGCGGAAGGTTCCGTCGCGCTCGGTAATATCCTCACCGAGTTACATCATATAATAGGAATTTTGCGATAACAATAGTTATAAACAATACAGAAATTCATAAATTTTTGCATCTGTGATCATTGCGAAAACCTGTACGGCAGCAAAATGTAAGGGATTGCATCGGTTTCAGGCCAAACATACGTGAAATAGTACGCTTTTTGCGATAAAAAGTGATATAAAGTGGTAAAAATAAGACAAGGACAAATGTTTTGCTATGGGACCAAATGGCAAATGCTCTTCCAGATGTAAGGAGTTTGAATCCGATTGGTCCATCCGTGTCGGAGTAAGAAACAAGACAAAATGTTTCTGTTTAAAAAAAAGAAAACGGGTAAAAAATGACAAATCACAAAATGTTTCTTTTACGCGACCAACTGGAAGAAATATTCGACAAAATGCAAGAGGTTTCACTTCGATTCATCAAGCCATCTCGACGTAATCGGCAAGCATACCTAAAAATCACGGTTTTTTTTGGTAAAAAAACGTGTAAAAAATGACAAATCGCAAATGTCTTGACAGCAGGATCACCGGGGGAACATGGTCTACAAGATGCAACAGGCTTCATTACGATTGGTCAAGTCATCTCGGCGTAATCGGCGAACAGACATTTAAAAAAAAATATATACATGTCGAATTGAGTAACCTCCTCCTATTCGAAGTCAGTTAAAAAGAAATTAGAAGAAAACAATTTTTACTTGTATCTACGCACCCTTGAGGTCGGCTATTTGGACCAGAAGTATAAGATAATTGGTAGAGTTTAATGAGTCAACTGTGGCGCCATCTTTTGAAATCTCTAAGAATGTGTCGCGTAAATCAAGCGATGGCAATAGTATACTTCACAAAAGTAAAAAAATTACGCCAAGTACATGAAAAAGTTAAGGACTAAAGAAGTTATCATTGAAAAATAGAAGATCCCCATAAAAAACTACAAGAAAATAGACAAAGAAGTGAAATCGAAATAAGCTGCCAAATGATTTGCCTAGATTTCCGCGGCCTGAAAGTCAAATAGTGAGATCATCAATACCCATACTTTCTCTCTCACAGGCCTTTAGATAATTTGTCAATTTAAAACTCTGACAATATTATGAGTACACTTTCATTGTATTGGTTTTTAAAATAATTCTTATTCATCGACACCTTGACCTTGCCTGGCCACGCCAATCATTTGACTTCCAGGTCGCGGAAATCTAGGCAAATCATCTGGCAGCTTATTTCGATTTCACATCTTTTTCTATTTTCTTGTAGTTTTTTATGGGGATCTTCGATTTTTCAACGATAACTCCTTGAGTCCTCCACTTTTTCATGTACTTGACGTAATTTTTTTACTTTCTTGAAGTTTTTTACCGGATCTCACTTCTTTTTACAAATAATTTATTATATAGAATCTATTTTAAATTTATAAAAATAAATTTGATATTTCTGTAAACTCTACATAAGAAGTCTAAATTATTATTTGTTTCTTTAATTATATAGAGTAAAATAAAAGGAGAGGGGATAACAAAAGCGAATATATATATACAGGGTGTCCTATAAGTCGGAGAGGAGCCGGAAATGAGGGGTAGCTAAGACGATTCTGAACAACAATTTCCTTTGCAAAAATGTCGGATGGGGCTTCGTTAAGGAGATATTAAGCGAAAACCTCGACCAATCAGAGCGCGCGTAGACCGTTCGAGCGGCCGCGGTAGCGAAGGGTATGCGCTAGGCGGCAGCGCTTGTACGCGAACAAGTGACTCGACGTGCATCGAAGGACATTGACGCTGCCGCCTAGCGCATACCCTTCGCTACCGCGGCCGCTCGAACGGTCTACGCGCGCTCTGATTGGTCGAGGTTTTCGCTTAATATCTCCTTAACGAAGCCCCATCTGACATTTTTGCAAAGGAAATTGTTGTTCAGAATCGTCTTAGCTACCCCTCATTTCCGGCTCTTCTCCGACTTATAGGACACCCTGTATATATATGTATATTTCATATAGTTTATTAAGTGTAAACTCTTATTCGTTTAATTTATAAATAATTTATGAATAATATATACCTGTAATTTTTTTCCTTGCTACAAGAAATTTTAATGGTAATGATGAAATGAGAAAATGACTCCATTTCTATTAAGCTCTACATAAAAAGTCTAAATTCAAAACACTTTGGTGGTATGGATCTATATTAAAAACAGTTTTCTGTATGAATAAAGGTATCTCGCAATTCAGATTTTGACAACTTACCTTGTAGTCAAGATCGATCAACACTTTACAACACTGGCTGCAATTTGTTAATTAACCCTACATAAAAAGTCTAAATTGAAAACATTTTGCTGATATAAATATGATTAATAATGCAATAGTGTAAAAACTTTTGACAGTTGGCAGGTTATGAATGATGACATTTGTTTTGACTCTCGACGCTCGATGCCCGACGAGCCATGCCGAACCGAATGATTCCAAGAGTCGACGAACGACACTCGGCTTTTTCTTAGCTCCTATTGGCTAAGGGTTGACGATGGGAAAATCATACGAAAAATACCGTTTCTGATAGATTCATGACATGATATTACGATATCCCAGTTGTACGTGGACCGATTTTATTGATTTTGGTTTTATTTCATTATTTGGTTATATTATTCTCGTTAAAAATGCCTTTAAATTTAGAAAATATTGCAGGCGTGTTGAGATATTCATGAAAGAAGTTTCAGGTTAGGTTGGAATAGACCATCTCTCCTGCAAAAGATACGTGGTAGCTCCAACGCCAGGTATATGTGGTGACGGATAATTTTTCATGTACTTGGCGCTGAAACGCTACCGCGTCTGTAGATTCCTCAATCGCAAAGTAAATGTCGTTGTTAAAATATTGGATCAATGAGATGGACTTATTTTATAAAATTGACAATTCTATTACTTATATTTACTTATTTCGTTAATAAGAACATATATTATATACATAATAACAATAGCCATAGCTGACTGGTTAAACTTTGATTAAACTAATTTGGCTCATGAAATTCCCTTTATGTGTTAACATTTTTTCGCTTTACGTAGCTTCTTTGAACGTAGTATCGCTTTATGTAGGTTTTTTTTTAACGTAGTCTTGCTTTACGTAGCTTCTTTGAACGTAGTCTCGCTTTACGAGACTTAAGTTTATCAAAAATTCTAACAGATAACACATCGAAAGAGTTATTAATTAAAAGTATCTCTTAAAATATTTACTCAAATTAATAAAAGTTCAGAAAAATGCCATACAAACTTCAAGTTTCTTCGTATTAATGTTTAAGTGCTGGTAATGTTTAAGAGCAGACGGTCCGACACATGCTAAGAATTTTCCGAATTTACGAAGTTTCATTAAAATCAGCGTACACTTCTCGTGGTCCTCTCGTAAACGACAGACTCGCGACTATCGTTTCGCACAAAGCCGAGTATTTTTCGTTGAAAGGCGCTGCATCTAAAGGGATGAGACTGTCCATTCACCCTGGACAATTGTCAACAGAGTCCCTGCTAACTGGTATGCCTACCACTTTACACAACGCGGCCGACCCGGCGACTCATGTAGCTGGTGGCCGCAGGCGAAAGTCATTAGGTGCGTGTGCAGGATCGTATTCCATCCGCCAATGAAACTTTAAATTTTCAAAATCTTCGCTGCGACTTCGCAAGTGTGTTATTCTTATCAATAGTGGCGTTATTTTTATTCAATGTTAGTCTGAGCAACGAAAGATACCTAAAGCTAAAGTACGTAAAGCGAGGCTACGTTCAAAGAAGCTGCGCAAAACGAGACTACTTTCAAAGAAGCTACGTAAAGCGAGACTACGTTCAAAGAAGCTACGCGATCGAGACTACGTTCAAAAAAGCTACGTAAAGCGAAACTACGTTTAAAAAAGCTACGTACAGTGAGACTACGTTCAAAGAAGCTACATAAAGCGATGCTACATTTAGAGAAGCTACGTAAAGTCAGACTATGTTCAACAAAGCTAAATAAAGTGAGACTACGGTCAAAAAACCTACGTAAAGCGAGACCACGTTCAAAGAACCTATGTAAGGCGAAACTACGGTCAAAAAAGCTACGTAAAGCGAAGCTAAGTAAAGCGAGACAAAGACGCTATTGTATCGAGTGCGGACCTAATTCCTACGTTCCAATCAATCAGGAACTATATAACTATCGAAAATAAAGTCAGAATTCATAATTATTTATGGGTTTTCACAATCTTACCATATTTACACAGATTCACACAGATTACGTAAATTGATACTATGCCAAGAAACGCTACGTGAAACGAAGCTACGTGAAACGAAGCTACGTAAAGCGATGCAATGTAAAGCGGAACTACGTAAAGCGAGAGTGCGTAAAGCGAGACAAAGATGCTACTGTATCGAGTGGTGACCTAATTCCTACCACCATTAAAGTAACAATAAACGCCCACGCTGCAGGTCTTCTGCCAGCGAACATTAAATCAGTTTAACATGCAAATCCAATTACGGGAAACTTAAGTTCAACGTTCGTTTCGCCCGAAGACATCGCCGCATCGTTTCCACACCGATGTTCCCGGGGCGCAGTTCTGAATTCCAAATCGTCGAACGTGGCGGTAGCCCTGTACCTTTGATTTCCGCGCGACTGACCGCGTGCACAGAGGCCAGCTACAAAACAATAACAGAAAATTGGCCGTCCTAACTTTCCGACGAGTGTCAGGTTGGGCTCGTTGCGTTGTTCACGCCCTGCTCGCCCTGCCCCCCCTCCCCCCCCCCTCGGTCTGAGGCTGTTATCGTTGGACCATATATAAAGGCGAGCGGACCGCAGTTAGCCGCATACCGGTTAACTTTCGAGAGTAACGAGAACGGAGGACCAAGGGATGAATTCACGGAACAAAGAGGGACAAGGGAAGGAAAATTGGCCTGAGAAAGAGAGGGAAGGGGAGAGTGTGCATTGTTAAGGCAACGAAATTCGCGAACAAAGGGAAAGGCTGTCTTCAATTCGTCTTGATTATAATTGTTCAGATTACGAATTTTCGGGATCCGAATACCGAATCAAGAAACACGGAACGATTTTATGGTGTCCCGGAAAGGTTGATCGATTTTCTAGTCTTCTGGATGTTCGTACAAATTCATATATTTAACCGACTTCGAAAAGGAGGAGGTTACTCAATTCGACATGTATATTTTTTTTTTTTTATGTATGTTATTGGATTACGCCCACACGGCTTGATCAATCGGAATGAAACCTCTTGCATCTGGTAGGGCTACGTTGCCTCTTAAAAGCTTAAAAATACATTTGACCTACTTCCATTTTTTACCACTTTATTGCACTTTTTATCGAAAATTGTACTATTTCACGTATGTTCGGCCTGAGTTCGATGAAATCGATGAAACCCTTTACATTTTACTACCGGACAGGTTTTCGAGTTGATCACTTTTTATAGATAAAGATGATGAATTGAAATTTAAAGTGTGTCCCATCTTCTAAACAATGTAATCCGCAATTTATGATATTGCTTGTTGATATTTGCTTGTTGATTTTTTTGTTGTGAATTGTTTGATTATTCCTTTATATTTCTTTATAGTGATGAATATTTAACTAAATATATATATAGTATAAAAATTACATTTAACTTCCAATTAAATAATTTTATTTAAAATAAATATATATATAATTTTAAACTTATCTTTTATTTTACAATTTATATTAACAATTCCACTCTTAATCTTAAACTTAAATTTATTCTTTTCAATAAACATAAAAAGAAA